CTCTCTCTCTCTCTCTCTCTCTCTCTCTCTCTCTCTCTCTCTCTCTCTCTCTCTCTCTCTCTCTCTCTCTCTCTCTCTCTCTCTCGTAGTCTGCATGTACTGAGAAGTCAGGTGGCGAGAGGGTGAGGGAGAGATGGTGGACTTAGAAGAGGAAAAAGAAGAACTCTCTCTCTCTCTCAGTCCAGTACTAACCTGTGAAGGTGGCGCCTGGTTGCAGGTACATCAAAGACGAAGCTGGAGCTATGGCGCCACTGTTAAGTCTCCCTGGCCTCCGCCAACCCTCTCTCTCTCTCCAACGCTACTCTAGCTCCTAATAGCGCCCAGTGCTGAACACTACTACTACTGCAGTGCTCCTACAGAGTGCTGCTGCCGAATCCTGAAGACTGCCCTCCTGCCTCCTGCACGTGAAGTGCCTGGGAAGTCCCTCTGAACCACCTCCTGACTACCTCGTGACTGCCTGCAGCCTGTAGGGCGGGCCACTCTTATATAGTGCTGGCCCGTCCAGGAGGCTGCTCTAGCCAATGCCAAAACATGCCAGACCCTGGCGTTGAATTTCAAACAAAGGTTGTCTTGAAAACAGGCCAAAAATGGCCTGTGCTAAAACCCTGGTCTGTTGCCTAAGTTTCTGGGCAGGTCGATCTTATGGGGGCCTGCAAATGGCCCTCCGTTTCAGGCTGAAAAGACTCAGGGCCTGGAGGGCCCTTTTTAGGCTGAAGCGACACAGGGCCTGTAGGCCCTTGTTTTCAGGCTTTTAGGCTGAGAACGCTGGTCGGGCCCTGCAGGCCCGTGTGCCTGCGCAGTATGCCACAAAGGTTAATTCTCGTTTTGCACATTTGGTGAGTACTGCTGGAGCGAGGCCCATAGTCTCGTGCCGTTTCTAGATGATCGATGACAAGCACATAGATGGCGGGCTTTATTTGGTTTCTTTCTTAAGCTGGCCTACTTTAGAGCGTGCAACTCACATCAAGACTTTTGCACGTATTCATGGAAGCATTGCAGTTCACCGTAAAAGTGATCCGAAACACTGAAGATAGAGCCCTGTACGTGTTTGTGGAAGTATCCAGGCTCGGCCGTAAATGTGGTCAGATACGCTGAAGATCGAGCCTATGTGAATATGCCCTGCAACAAGCCTGCATGCATTTTTGTTTCTTTTTTTTTTTTTTCTTTTTTTTTTTCTTTTTTTTTTTCTGCATGTATTTATGGAGGTGATTGCGGAATGCACCTAAACTCCAACATTCTGAGGGCGCAGTCACAGCGCCTGTCTTCAATGTATCTGACTGCATTTACGGGCAAGCCTGCATGCATGAAGATAGAGCCAGTGTGGGTACGCCCTTCATGTATTTAAGGAACCAGTTGCTGTTGGATGCATTCACGCCCGGTTGTAAATGCAGCCGGATACATTGAAGACAGAGCCGATGTGAGTGCATCCTCAGGATGTTCGGATACAAGTACATGGCAGATCCACGTGACCGTCTGCCCCCATGGTATCACACAGTCCACATAGTTTGACCCTCCCCGCATCGAACCAACCCAGAAAGTATCACCTGTCCCAGGTCGTACCAACCGGTCTGCATAGTATAATCCGGCCCACATAGTACCACCCAACTCGCTTGGTATCATCCGCACCACATAATGCCACCCTGCCCACATTACACCACCCACTCCACATAGTTGGACCGACGCCACACAACGCCCCATAACCCACATAGTGCTGGTCAGTCATTGTATGACGCGGCTCGCACAGTACAACCCAACCTGCACGGTTTCTTCAACCAGGCCTCATAATACCTGCTCAGTCCACATAGTGCCGCCTGTCCATCGCGAGAGCTGAACTGTGCCTGATGTTGGCAATGTTTTCTTTTTTCCCATGGCCCCCTCCAGGCATCCACGTGTATACTGTATACAAGTAAATCTTGTAGCTGCTGTTTGATGTTGGGGTTGGGTAGATCCAGAGTACCAGCGTGCAGGGCAATCCAAGAGGAACAAATACGATGATCACTCAGTCTGATCAGTGGCTTTACTACAGAGTAGTTCATTAGTAACTGACTTACCTCAATCAGTGTGACTTTGATGTAGTCTTTGACATGAGGAAAGCGATTCTTTACGTCCCTCATGATGAAGTCGCTAAGCTCTCCAGAAAATTCCACTCCTGTGGGACCACCTCCAACCACCACACAATGCAAGAGGCGCCTTTTCTCTTCCACACTTGTGCCTTTTGCATGGGAAAGGCAGACAAAAAAAACAGAAAACGAAAATCAAGGCCACAGGTGCAATATGTTTAGTAGTATGAGCATGATTGGTATCAGAGTTTGTGACATTACGCAGCACATATCACCGGCATACTACATGGTGCATGGTGCATGGTAGAGTAGGTACTATGCGCTATGCACTACCCACTATGCATTACATTGGTACTACGTTTGTACTATGTTTGCACAATGTCTATACATAGTGCATAGTACAGTCGCTACTATGCACTATCTGGTACGCAGGTACCATGTTTGTACAATTTCTGTACTACGTCTGTCAGAAACCCCTTCTTTTGTCTTCACCCTTGACAGGCTTTTGTCTTTCTTGGCTTTTTGCCCAAAGAGCGCTTCGAGTGGCACAGGAGTAGGTCACCATCAAATGAAGAAATGTTAACAAACAATCGTATTTGGAAACAATGACTTATAGATATTGGTACTGTTACTGCACAACAGGCTATGGATTGGGGATTTAGTGGTGTAATGTTAAGAGGTTCAGGGGTTTCCTGGGATTTGCGAAAAGCAGCACCCTACGATGTTTATGACAAAGTAGAATTTGATGTACCCGTAGGTACACGAGGAGATTGTTATGATCGTTACTGTGCCCGCATTGAAGAAATGCGACAAAGTCTTCGAATCATTACTCTTGGGATCGGTGTCCGACCACTTCGTCTTTGTATTTTCTAAGAACAACCTTCTTTTCTCAAAGGGTATTGCTCTTCTGTGAATGACTAACGTCATGAACATGCACCACCAACCAGAACTGCTGCTTAACCCGAATAGAACGCCCGGTCATTATAGCCGTATTTGGGTCGATTTTCAGTCCAGATGCAGGCATAATAACTGAGTGTTCTGTTCCGGTGAAGACGGTAAACCCTAAACACATAGCAGAACATCTGCCATTGCTTGTTGCAAAGAGACAACATTAGCTTTGGTGGCTATGGTGGAGGTCTGCATCTTCATCTTCTTGGTTGGTGCTGCACCTAGAAGGGCCCATTGGGGGCTTGCACCTGCAAGGAAGACTTCAGGGTACTGCTAGACTTGAAGGCCATAGCAGGAAGGAGGACACATTAGCTTTGCGTTGTCCTTTGAACATCAGAGCTTCACTCCGATAGTCCGCCATAGCCACCTGCTTGACCAAGTAGGAGGAAGGTGTATGAGATGGCTATGGTGGACCCTCCGAGTGGCAGGCTGCGAGGAGAGGATCCAGACATTGGTAATGGTTCATTCTTTCATTCTTATTATTATTATTACTGTTAAGAAGAGGTTGCAGGAGTAATTGGAGGTTGAAGGCGGTGGCGAGATGAAGGGGGGTTGGCATTGGTCTTTGCTGGTGTTCATCTTCTTCTTCTTCTTCCATTCTTCTTCTTTTCTTTTTTTTTTCTTTTTTTTTTTTTTCTTTTTTTTTTTTTTTTTTTTTTTAATGCAGGCTGTCTTCTCCTTGAAACAGTTTTCACCTTTTGCAGTCACAGATGCGGATCCCAGGGCTCGATCCTCAGACCTTACCTTACCTCACCTTACCTGTGTACAGTATCGAGTCGACCCTGTGTGTCTTGAACCTGTGACCTGTGTGTTAGTAGTTGAAAGTTGTCTGTCGTAGGTCTGAGTAGTTGTCGGGTCTTGAACTTTAGACCTGTCGAAGTAGGGGTCATACCTGCGTAGGGGTCATAGCTGTTGTAGTTCTGAAAGGTCAAGGTCGTAGCTGCTACAGTCCTGAAAGGTCAAGGTCGTAGCTGCTACAGTCCTGAAAGGTCAAGGTCGTAGCTGCTACACTTCCGAAAGGCCAAGTCCACAGACTTCCGGTCCGGAAGTGGCCTTTCGAGAATTTCTCACGTTCAGTCAGAGGCAAGTGGGCAAGTGGTGAGTCCAACTTCACTTAGTCAGCCGTACCCAGTCCCAGTCTTACTTTGTACAGTCAGCAAGTACCATGAGGGACTGTGTGCACCATGGCCCGGTGGAAAAGGGGCAGACCAGTGACTTACAGAAGTATAAATCAAGAGACAGCGTCCAGCCATTCATTCATTCCTGCGTAAGCCATGAGGAAGCGCTGCTCTAGTGTCTTGTGCGAGGTGGTCTGCAGAGGCCTGAAGTCGAAGTGGGCTGAGGAGGAGATAGTGTGCCATAGTTAGTAGTAGCTAGTGATAGTGTGTGTGTGAGCGGGTGTCATACAGTGGATGCGTGTAGGATATTCAGGGTGATCCAGAGTTGAGTGTGCGTGAACAGTGGCTGTGGACACAGTGTCGAGAGTGGGATGTACAGGCGCTCATGCGCCATAGCCTGTTGAAGCGAGTTTGCATCTGAACTGTGTTCTCGGTTTCCATATCTCGGATGTTTGAGTGGGCGCTTTGGTGCCAGTGTGCTTTGTCATCTGTTGCATGCATGTGAGTTGAAGAAGAAACTGAGTCTGATTGCATTGGTATCAGAGCTGGTTCCTGTTATCCCGCGCACCATCGTTGTCTGGGCGCCATAGCTGTAGCCGAGCCATCGAAGGAGGAAGGTCCGCCATAGCTGCGCCGTCGAAGAAAGGTGTGCGTACCTGCAAAGAAGACAACGATGAAGAGAGAGAGAGAGAGAGAGAGAGAGGAGCCATACAAGATTGTTTGTGCGGTCCAAGACAGGAGGTGGCAGCCATAACCGTCGAAGCTCGGGCACAGGGTTACCAAGGAGAAAAAGCTCGGGCACAGGGTTACCAAGGAGAAAAGAGACGAAGGAGAAAGAAGCCATAGCCGAGGAAGGAGAAGGAAGAGACGAAGGAGAAAGAAGACAGCGCCCGGGTGAAGGAATAAGAAACTGAGAAAGAAGGAAGGAGGCAGAAGGAGAGTAACGAAGGTTGGTGAGGAAGAAAGGGGTCGGCAGCCATAGCCGAGATCAGCGTTGACCAAGGTGTTGACCGGAGAGTTGACCAAGGTGTTGACCGGAGAGTTGACCAGGGCTGATCGGAGAGTTGACCGAAGCGTTGACCAGGTTTGACCGAGGCATTGACCGGGGTTGACCGAGGGGTTGATTGAGGGGTTGACCGGCGTTGACCAAGGTGTTGACCGAGAAGTTGACCGAGAAGTTGACCAGCGTCGACCAGCGTTGACCAGACATGTTGACCACGAATTTGACCAACCTGAAGTCGGTATATTCTCGCCAAGCCTTCAACCTATCCCCTCGCCCTATGGATGTGTACTCACCCCATGGTACTTGCTAAGTCTATTTGTCTCTTCTTTCTGCATTGAGTCTCTTTTGTCCAGGTGATATGAACTCTGTGTACGAGGTCGTACAGCTTTGTTGACCAAACCCACACGGGCTGAGTAGGGCTAAAGGCCGTGTATGACGACTGACTGACCCGGAGGACAAACCCTCCCAAGGACCGGTACAGACTGACGGGATGCTCAGTGTGGCATGGTAGGCCCAAAATCCGAGTTGTTGGCTGCACAACAAGCTGTCTAAGTCTTGAGAGGACTTGCTGATCGCGTCGTCCTGTCTGCGCCGTTTAATAATTCCTGAGGAGTTACAGGGGATCTCCTTAAATGCCTCCTGATCAACATTGAGTCCTGTAGTGACAGCTGCAGTATTAGGCCCAGGCTAGTGACCATAGTCGACAGGGTCTTATACGGATCCTGTAGTTCTTAGACAACGAGTTAGTCCAGTGGGTAGGCATAAGTGGTGAGGAGTGGGACAGTCATTGTCATGCACCGGACACCATGGATGACTACCCTATGTACGGTCTGCTTGTGGGGTTCTCCCTCTAGGGGACCCTCTGGCGTCTCCTCTTTCCGTTGGGATTTTGGAACTCCTTTACGTGTAGATTAGAGACCAGGGGTGGTGTTAGTACCACTCCCTACACAAAGGAGCAGAGGAGGAGGCTGCGGGGATCTTGGCCGAGCAGAAGGCCAAGAAGGAGAAGAAGGAGGTTGTAAAGCAGGCCTAGCCTTATTGCAGGAGCAGGCCGCGAAAAGATAGAAGTTGGAGGGTGAGCTAGAGAGGGTGAAAAAGGAGGAGGAAGAAAAGTTGAAAGCAGTGGATGCAGAAGAAGAAGAAGAAAAGAAAAAGGTGGAAGAAGAAGTGCCCCTGATCAGAAGAAGTATCAGGGAAAGAGGAGAGTCGAGTAGTATAAAGGAGGATCCCTCGCTAGAGAAGAAGGTTTCTGAATGGGTTGCTAATCTGTCCCTGGGAGAAGAGGAGGAGGCAATGTTATATGTCCCCAGGGAAGAACAATAGAGGAGGAGAAGAAGTTGGAGTGGAAGTTGCGTCTGACAAGAGAAAAGAAGAAACATATGGAAGATGCCAGCAAGACGGCGAGAGAGTTGGAGGCTATAAAGGAGCAAAGGGTGCAGATGGAGACGCAAGCGGATATACAGGGGAAGATGGAGGTTATGTCGAGGAATATCGAACTCCTGGCTAAAGTTTGGGATAAGCAGAAGCCAGGATGTAACGTTGCGCTCCATACGCTTAGGTTTTAGGGAGTTTGCGCGTGAAATGATGATGCACGTGCGCACGGAAGTTAAGGCAAGGATGGAGAGCACAAAGCAATTTTGTATAGGGGCAATAGAGGGTGGTAAGTTAGCAGCTCCAAGGAAGGAGGAAGCACGTCCTCATAGTGACCCAGTCAAGGTCAAGTTCCCTGATCACTATAGTGGGAAAAAGGGAGAAAACTTTGACAACTGGGAGGCGAACATCAATTCGTATGTTCACCTCCAGAAGATTGTGCCCGAGGAGCAAGTCTTAATTGCTTTCCATGCCCTTAGGGAAGAGGCAGCAAGCTTGCCCGCACTGCTGATTGCGAGAATAACATGGCAGCTTACTCTGCGCAAACCTCCCTGGGCGCATTCCTTAAGTTGTTGCGCGAGAGATTTGTTGATGTCACTAGAGGGATTAGGGCCTCCGATAAGCTTTAGACCATCCACTCACGACAATGGAAGAGTGTCAGGGCACTCAAGGAAGTAATGGATGAGTTGGTAGTTGTCCCTGACCATGGGGT